CCCCAAAACCCCAAAACCCCATCATTTGGATATTTTATTAGAGTTAGATGTATTATAATATAGATTAAAGTACATATTATTAGTAATAGATTATTAGGAATCAGAACTTAATTAATGGATTCCAAAGACAAAAGTCTCATTAATGATGATAAGAGAAGTTATCTTCTCTCAACTGATGCAAACGATTTATCTTAATAATTGAACTTTTCATCGTTATGCAAGTTAAAGTCACACACATATTTACCAAAGTAAGTTTCATTAATTAATTGAAAATGATAAAATCGAATAAATGATTTGACTTGACACTACAAATTATAGATTTATAGCAGCATTCACAGTGATTGTATACATACTAGCAACATTTTCTATCTACAAATAATTCTGATGCTTATACACATTTTTAGCCCTGATAATCCCTGCTAACTTTATTATTTTGACAGTATTTGGCAGCTATGCACTAAGAGCTATACTATTTCCTTACTCAAATTACTTTATCAGGTAGAATATAGACTCTCAAATTAATCGCAGATTTGCAAAAGAATTCGCTAGACTAGTCACTCTAATGAATAAGATAGTTAGAATAATGGCTGAGATAGATCCAATTGATAGTTTTAATTAAGATAAGTATGTCTAGAAAGAGTAACTACGCATAAGTCAGCAGATATTAAAAGAAAAAGAGGACAAAGGAGATGTAGAAAACTAGAAAACTAAGGCGAAGAAACAAAAAGTGGAGTAAATTTCGCAGACGTAGGTAAATAACTCAGATGGACTGCTGGATAGCCCAGCAAAGCAGCAAGAAAAGAAGGCAAAGCAAATGGAGGAAAAGAAGATCATGCAGGAAATGAATCAAAGTAAGAAGAATCAGCTTAATTTAGTAATCTTAAATAGAGATGTTTTCTATCGTGGAATTGATTGGCATTTATGGGGAGATTAACACTCGTATCATTTGAGACAATAAGGAGAAACTATCTTCTGAATTTAATTTGATGACTGACACGCTTTTAGGCTTGAAGAAAATCCTAGAGTCCATCCCTATTGAAAATGAGTCAAAGGCTGGTGCTAACAATATCAGACTACAGTCTCTTTGGAATTTTTACAAAAAAGACCTGCTAACTGATCATGAAACTGACTTTGTATGTAAAATGAAGACACCTAAGATTATTTTAAGTGAGGAAAATTTAGGTAGTTTGAGATAAATAGATCAAATGTCTAAGAGTTTTCAGACTATCATTGACAAAGCAACTATCGTGAAATGCGGATGCTTTTGCAGATATAAAAAGGTATTATATATTTATTGATATCATTTAGATGTTTGGCACAACAGCGCAAAATTAATATTTGCTAAATAAAAACTTTGAAGGGCAGCATTTTATGGTACCTAGTGTGAATGGAGTAAAAATAGACTGCATGTTTTTTCCATGCACTAATGAAAGTAATCTGGAGATTAGTATTGAGAACCCAAAAGGAGAATATCTCTCAAAGCCAACGTTTATTATGTGCAATCCAAATGCTTTGATATATTAATAAATGGTTACTTCACCAAACGCTTACTGGCTAAGTTTCTTTCTTAAAAGAGGCATAAATGTAATGTGTTGGAATTACAGAGGTTATGGGAAATCTTAATAGAAATGGTATTCTTCAAGTATTGACCCATACACTTGCAAGTAAGATGTTGAAAAAGTATTAGAGTTTCTACTTCAAAAGTAAGTTATTCTGATCTTTATTGTTATTTTTGCAAGGTTAAAGGTAAGGGGAAAGATAGGAGTCTATGGCAGATCGATTGGAGGAATAGCTTCTTGTCATTTGGCTAATAAGTATCCAGCTATTATTGAAGCTGCAATAATTGACAGAACTCTCAATGAACTTCTAAATCTATCATAGCGAAGGTTGACTGGCTAAATGACTTCTGCCTTGTTTAAGTTTATAAGCTATAATTGGAAAGCTTTGAATGATCACAATATCATCTAAAGCAAATGCTTCAAGATTATTACAACTGATCCCAGAGATGATGTGGTTGAGAATTTCTCCTCTCTTCCAGTAGGTGTAGCAATGAAATTAGCTAAATTACAGTATAAAGAGGATAAATGGAGGCAACTCTTCATGTGTTTTCAACTAATATATGATTGCGAAGATTAACTTTACTCGAATTTAGACGAGTCTTAGTTATCAGAGTTAAACTTCAGGTTGATTTAAAGTTTCAAAGACACCACCACTGCTTATAAATCACCAAGAGAATCAAATGAGATTTAAGAGTAATCAATGATTAATACAATGGAGAATGATGAGGAGACTTTGATAAAGCATAGTTAAAAGATTAAGAAGCATACAAAGAGTTAGTTATAGAGTTAATTGAGCTTAGGCTATTTAAAATAGCGATTCAGATATATGAAGAGGTTCCAAGAAATACACCAATAGTTACATACTTTAATGATAATGCTAGATGATATTTAGGCTGGTCCAATACCACTTAGAGAGTTGGTTAATAAATCTAGGATAAGATCTTTTAGAGAATTTCAAATCTTCCTCTAGACACTTGAAGTATATGGGGTTGGATATCCAGATGATATAGACAGAGCAAAGTATGCTAATAGAGCAGTGATCACTCATTCACAGTAAACAATCGAATAATTAAAACAGCTGATTCATGTTTATCAAAAATCAATTAGTACTTTTATCGAGCTTGACTTGGAGCATTTTGAGGGGCAGATTAGTTTCAAGAACAATTTAGTAGTCTTTCTACAATATCAGATAGAATGCTTTAATGATCTAATAGACATTTAAAGCAAAAGAAGCCTCTTGAATGAAAATGACTTTGATAAGATAACAGAGGGACATTTAGTACTTATGAAGTGTGGCCACAGAGGCAAGCCATCTCGAATAGAAGAAAAACGGATTTCAAGATTACTGAGAAAGTCTGGGTTTATACCCATGCTCGAAGAGATTCAATATTACAAGTAGGCATCTCCCAGAGCCAAAGAAGAAAATAAAAATGATAACTTTGATTTCAAATCACCTCCAAAGGATCCAAATAATACCCCTGCCTAGTTAGACATGATCTATGAAAATGTTAGTTAAAAGGTGAAACTTAGTATGGGTTAGCATTCCAAATTTCTAAAAATGAAGACAGACAACCATCTGAATAACGTAGATGAACTGGGCTCTTAAGAAAATGAAAAGAACCACAAAGAGAGGAAAAGACTTTCTTAAAATAACTATCCAATAACTTAGCAATCAGATGATGAGCACCAATCTCGAATTGGAGGTAGCATTCATTTGTAAAAAGGAATGATTTTAGGCTAGATTTCAGATAATGAGAAAATTATCAGAAATTTGCCAGTGCTTTGAAACTCATCTGTTTAAAATTACAATCGTTATCTTGATTTCAATAATTTTATCTAATTTTCATTAACTCTGCTCTCAGTTTATTACCACGGGGTTTTGGGGTTTTGGGG